CTTACTCAAAACGTCCTATTTTTCCCGAGGCTAAAACCATGATCTGGTCAAATAGTAAAGTGCATTATCCTAATGATTCCTTTAATGTGTGTGCCCTGCCCATGTGTGGCCTGCTGCTGTGATCAGTGAGCCACTCACTGCCTTTCTTTGTAGAAAAAAAATGCACCGGGGGAGTTTTCTGATTTTATAACATTTCAAAATCCAATTATTTCTCAAATCTCAATATTGAGCTCAATAGCAACTATTTTACCACCAAGATATTTGACATGGCTATGAGATACAGAGCACACGAAATGCGCATCGGCAATTGCATAGGCCTCATTGGGTGGAAGGCTACAACTGCGAAGTTATTTAGGAGATTAACTTTTCTGTTTGATTAATACATGGCTACTAGCAGTGGGTATTATATTTAGATTTAGCTAATGTGTTTTGAGTGTCCACTTACTCAGGTGGTGAATTAACCCCAAATAAATTGGTCTATAAATCAAATCAAATTGTATTTGTGTAGACTAACAGTGAAATGCTTACTTACTTCCCAACAGTGCAGAGAAAAATATAGAAAAATATTAGTGTTATAAGTGCACATAAAGATGTAGGCAAATTCATCTCTATTGAACAAAATCAAATTGTATTTGTGAGACCTATTTTAGCAGTAAAATAATATTTTAACAGAAACACACATTTTGTGTGTTCCAAATGAGGAAGGCCTTGGCTTTGAAAAGCCTACCCTTACTTCGCTGATAAATGTAAAATGAATGCCTACAGTGCTCTCCATTACCTGGGGGTTACACTCAGAAGATTGAAGTCCTCTATGTTCTCTGTCCGCTTTGTCATGGTTAACGTAGTCACACAGACATTAAAGGTGTGTGACTACTTCCATGCCTATGGGCTTAATAATACAAATGGCAATTTAGGCTACCACTCTCTTCCTTTGCAGTCTGTCAGGTGTGCCACTTAGGTTCGGCCAATGTTATCCGTAAAGGCAATTGGGGATGAATGGGGAAGACAATTTATGTAGCACACTAACGCGCTAGGTGTGTTATTTGTCTGCCCAATTTAGTGATATCCAATTACAATCTTGTCTCATCGCTGCAACTCCCCAACGGGCTCGGGAGAGGCGACAGTCGAGTCTTGCGTCCTCCGAAACATGACCCGCCAAACTGCGCTTCTTAACACCCGCCCGCATAACCCGGAAGCCAGCCGCACCAATGTGTCGGAGGAAACACTGTTTCCTGCAGGCGCCCGGCCTGCCACAAGGAGTCGCTAGAGCGCGCTGAGCGAAGTAAAGCCCCCCCAGCCAAACCCTCCCCTAACCCGGACGAAGCTGGGTCAATTGTGCGCCGCCCTATGGGACTCCCCGTCACGGCCTGTTGTGACACAGCCTGGGAACGAACCCGTGTCTGTAGTGACACCTCAAGCACTGCGATGCAGTGCCTTAGACCGCTGCGCCACACAGGAGGCCTATGTCATATGTGCTTTGGCTTTTGGAGATGTAGTCTAAGACAACACAGCTCTGCACATTATTTGTACTCTACATGGCTGGGTATTTTTGAAGGTGAGAGTTGGTGTCAGAATCAAATGAAGATTTTTTCACATCAGATCTTTTTCAGAGCTGATTTGATTGGTCAAAAGACCAATAATTGAAAAAAGATTAGAATTGGGCTGCCTGTGTAAACGCAGCCATATTGACCCATCCTCAGCCCCATGATATAGTGCCTTCAGAAAGTATTTACACCCCTTGACTTTTACCACATTTTCTTGTTACAGCCTGAATTTAAAATGGATTCAATTGAGATTTTGTGTTTTTAGAAATTGACAGATTAATTAATGAGAAGCTGAAATGTCTTGAGTCAATAAGTATTCAACCCCTTTGTTATGGGAAGCCTTTATTCGTTCAGGAGTCACATAATACATTTAATGGACTCAATCTGTGTGCAATAATAGTGTTTAACATGATTTTTTAAATGATTACCTCATCTCTGTACCCCACACATACAATTATCGGTAAGGTCCCTCAGTCGAGCAGTGAATTTCAAACACAGATTCAACCACAAAAACCAGGTAGGTTTTCCAATGAAGAAAGGGTACCTATTAAAAAAGTATACATTGAATATCCGTTTTGAGCATGGTGAAGTTATTAATTACACTTTGGATGGTGTATGAATACACCCAGAAACTACAAAGATACAGGCGTCCTTCCTAACTCAGTTGCCGGAGAAGAAGGAAACCGCTCAGGTATTTCACCATTAGGCAAATGGTGACTTTAAAACAGTTAGTTTAGTGGCTGTGATAGGAGAAAACTGAGGATGAATCAACATTGTAGTTACTCCACAATACTAACCTAAATAACAGAGTGAAAAGAAGGAAGCCTGTACAGAATATGAATATCCCAAAACATGCATCCTGTTTGCAATAAGGCACTAAAGTAAAACTGCAAAAAATGTGACAAATCCAACACAACACCTCACTAAGTCCCACTCTCCATATTTTCAAGCATGGTGGTGGCTGCATCATGTTATGGGTATGCTTGTCATCGGCAAGGACTACAGAGTTTTTTTTTGTTGATAAAAATAAATAGAAGCACAGGCAAAATCCTAGAGGAAAACCTGGTTGTCTGCTTTCCAACAGACACTGGGAGACACATTCACCTAAAACACAAGGCCAAATATTCATTGGAATTGCTTACCAAAGACGACATTGAATGATTGAGTGGCCTAGTTAACGTTTTTTTACTTCAATCGGCTTGGGAATCTATGGCAAGACTTGAAAAAGGCAAAGATCAACAAACAACTTGACAGCTTGAAGAATTAAAAAAATAATAATGTGGAAATGTTGTACAATCCAGGTGAGCAAAGCTCGTAGAGACTTACCCAGAAAGACTCACAGCTGTAATCGCTGCCGACGGTGATTCTAACATGTATTGACTCGGAGGGTGAATACGTACAGTACCAGTCAAAAGTTTGGACATACCTACTCATTCAAGGTTTTTTCTTTATCTTTACTGTTTTCTACCTTGTAGAATAATAGTGAAGACATCAAAACTATGAAATAACACATATGGAATCATGTAGTTACCAAAAAAGTGTAAAAACAATCAAAATATGTTTTATTTTAGATTCTTCAAAGTACTCACCCTTTGCCTTGATGACAGCTTTGCACACTCTTGGCATTCTCTCAACCAGCTTCACCTGGAATGCTTTTCCAATAGTCTTGAAGGAGTTCCCACATATGTTGAACACTTGTTGGCTGCTTTTCCTTCACTCTGAGGTCCAACTCATCCCAGACCATCTCAATTGGTTAGAGTTCAGGTGATTGTGGAGGCCAGGTCATCTGATGCAGCACTCCATCACGCTCCTTCTTGGTAAAATAGCCCTTACACAGCCTGGAGGTGTGTTGGGTCATTGTCCTGTTGAAAAACAAATGATAGTCCCACTAACCCCAACCAGAAAAGTGTCCCTTGAATTCTAAATATATCACAGAAGTGTCACCAGCAAAGCACCAGCACACCTCCTCCTCCATGCTTCACGGTGGGAACTACACATGCGGAGATCATCCGTTCACCTACTCTGTGTCTCACAAAGACACAGCGGTTGGAACCAAAAATGTCAAATTTGGACTCCAGACCAAAGGACAGATTTCCACCAGTCTAATGTCCATTGTTCGTGTTTCTTGGCCCAAGCAAGTCTCTTCTTCTTATTGGTGTCCTTTAGTAGTGGTTTCTTTGCAGTAATTTGTCCATGATGGCCTGATCACGCAGTCTCCTCTGAACAGTTGATGTTGAGATGTCTGTTAATTGAACTCTTTTTAATTGAACTCATTTCTGAGGCTGGTAACGCTAATGAACGTATCCTATGCAGCAGAGGTAACTCTGGGTCTTCCTTTCCTGTGGTGGTCCTCATGAGAGCCAGTTTCATCATAGCACTTGATGGTTTTTGCGATTGCACTTGAAAGTTCTTGACATTTACCGGATTGACTGACCTTCATGTCTTAAAGTAATGATGGACTGTCGTTTCTCTTTGCTTATTTGAGCTGTTCTTGCCATAATATGGACTTGGTCTTATACCAAATAGGGCTATCTTCTGTATACCACCCCTACCTTGTCACAACACAACTGATTGGCTCATTGGAAAGAAATTCCACAAATTAAACTTTTAACAAGGCACACCTGTTAATTGAAATGCATTCCAGGTGACTACCTCATGAAGCTGAATATATTTTGATTTGTTTAACACTTTTTTGGTTACTACATGATTCCATATGTGTTATATCATAGTTTGGATGTCTTAATTAAAGAGAAACCCTTGAATGAGTGTGTGTCCAAACTTTCAAACTTTCTAAAAACATGTTTTAACTTTGTCATTATGGGGTATTGTGTGTAGATGGGTGAGAAAAAAACATATTTAATCCATTCTGAATTCCAGCTGTAGCACAACAATGTGGAATAAATCAATAGGTATGAATACTTTCTGAAGGCACTGAAATTACTGTAGCACAACCTTTGAGTATCACATTTTGCCATGACTCTCTCTCTTTGCCTTTCTCGCTATCTCTCCCTCTCTGTTTTGGGTTTCGTATTGCTAACTTTTGTGCTTATGCAATTAGTTTTTCGCTTAAACTGAGGGATGTTTATATCATGAGATATATATGTATACTTTTTATGTGAACATTTACATTGCACTGTTTCTTCTCTCCTGTATGTCTTAAAATGGTCTACTCCTCTCCTCTACTTTAGGCAGCAAGTAGTACAGTGTCAAATACAATGTAATAACACAGTTAAGTAATAGTTACACACACATGGCAACTCTTTTTAATCGTCAACAAGACTAGTGATAGAAATATTTTACAACTTGCTTTGAGTCAAGCAAAGACACAAAGGCACAAAGTCTGGCCTGTGGTGTTTTCTGTCTCCAGTCACATACGATAAAGCTGAAGTTTCCATCGGCCATGGCTAAAGCATTAATGTGCTAAATGAAAGGTAATCGCATAAGGGCAACAGGGAAATGGCGCTTTGTGCTCTGGAGCCCGCGTCATCCGTCTGCTTTAGCACAGAAGAGGTGTCAGGAGCAAATTTAATCTGGGGGAGCAAAGCAAGGTCCCCAGCACTGAAGACATGGACATCTTTTATCACTGGACCCCGGCAATAAACAGCTCCATTACACGATACCCTCACTTAGGTTGCATCCCAAATGGCACCATATGCCCTATGTAATGCACTACTTTTAACCAACGCAAAAGTAGTGCACTATATAGGGAAGGGAATAGGGTGCCATTTGGGAAACAACCTAGGACTATTGTTACCTAACAGTCTCTGACTGAGGAAGCCCAGACATCCCTCACATTAGTACGTTCTGCTGAAGATGAGAGTGTGCTTGAAAAAGAGACTGCTGTTGATCTACTGCAGGGGCAGAAGTGACAGATTGAAAGGGACTGGTCTGCTCCCGGACGGTGCCCTTGGCATCCCTCCACAGGCTGCATGCTTTCCTGGAGATATTTGTCCTCATGTTGATTCTCTAAAATGGGAGCAGGAGCCATTTTGGAAGCCTCACCTGTTTCTCCCCAGTCCATCTGGCTATGTTCACTTCTTGCACTTTGCCCCTCCTTGCTTTACTACTGTAAAATAGTTAGTCTCAAATAAGACATTGGATGGGCTGTAGCACTTGAATTGAGTCCCTGCTTAGTATTCTGGTACAAATATATTTTAGGACCTTGAAATATGGCATTTACCCCTTGTGAAAAGGCCAATTAATCTAAAAGATGGAGCTGTACCAGGGCTATTTTAGTTTCTCACTGAAAGTTCTGTCTCATTGGCAGCGTAAGTGGAAATTGGCATGGAAAAACATGGCATGGGTGTAGGGCTGGGAATTGCCAGGGACCTAACGATATGATAGTATCACGATACTTAGGTGTCGATTCGATATTGTGATTTGATGTTCCAAACAAATTGCTCACTATATACTGAGTATACAAAACATTCCATGACATAGACTGATTAGGTGAATCCAGGTGAAAGCTATGATCCCTTATTAATGTAACTTGTTAAATCCACTTCAATCAGTGTAGATGAAGGGGAGGAGACGGGTTAAAGAAGGATTTTTAAGCCTTGAGACAATTGAGACGTGGATTGTGTGTGTGTGTGTGCCATTCAGAGGGTAAATGGGCAAGACATAAAATGAACGGGGTATGGTAGTAGGTGCCAGGCGCACTGGTTTGTGTCAAGAACTGCCTCGCTGCTTGGTTTTTCACGCTCAACAGTTTCTTCTGTGTATCAAGAGTGGTCCACCACCCAAAGGACATCCAGCCAACTTGACACAACTGTAGGAAGCATTGAAGTCAACATGGGCCAGCATCCCTGTGGAATGCTTTTCGAGTCCATGCCCCCGAAAATGAATGCATCACATGAGTTAGGAAACAAGGGAAGCTTTTATAATGCTCATAATGTTCCTCTCCAGTGACCAAAGGCCCCCTTTAATTCACAGGGCAGTGCAACACAGAGATATGTGTGTCTGGCTGTCTCTGAGTAGATGAAAAGGATTATCCCATGATTTGCCTGATCTCCTTTATACTCGCTGCTTGTAGTGGGACGGGATTGGCTGGGAAGAGCGCTGTTGAGGCAGTAATATGAATATTATAGAACCTCCCCGGAGACGGGGAGAGTGTGAAGGACGAAAAGAGAAGGGAATGGGCGGAGTAGATGGAGGGAAGTGTTAATCTACTGCAGTCTCACTCACAACGAGAATGCCTTTTAGAAGTCATTTCAAATGGACATTGAGCTCAATTTCTCCGTTAGCCCTTAGGGGACACCACCACAGTCACCCTCCTCCTCTGTCAAACAAATCTTGTTTTCACCCTGTTGTATTATGTTGAGCAAATACAGAACATCATCACAGACCGTCCTCTTATTTTTCCTGGTCTTTTTTTGTTTTTGCATTCTTTAAGGATCTTTTTCCAGATCCCTGGGTGCAGTGAAATACAGTGGGAGCCTTAAACCTCGCAGATATCAAGGGTATGGAACGATTCTGTATGGCGGAATGTTCTAAGATCCCTCCCAATGTGTTCTCCAAAATTTTTATTTAATCAATTTCAGAATAAGGCTGTAACGTAACAAAATGTGGAAAAAATCAAGGGGTCTGAATACTTTCCGAATGCACTGTATACACTACATGACCAAGAGTATGTGGACACCAAAATCATGGGCATTAATATGGAGTTGGTCCCTCTTTGCTGCTATAACAGCCTCCACTCTTCTGGGAAGGCTTTCCACTAGATGTTGGAACATTGCTGCAGGGACTTGCTTCCATTCAGCCACGAGCATTAGTGAGGTCGGGCACTGATGTTGGGCGATTAGGCTTGGCGCGCAGTCAGCGTTCTAATTCATCCCAAATGTGTTCGATGGGGTTAAGGTCAGGGCTCTGTGCAGGCCAGTTAAGTTCTTCCACACCTATCTCGACAAACCATTTCTGTATGCTGAAACAGGAAAGGGCCTTCCCTTTTTTTTTTTTTTTTATGGTTGGGGAATGCCAAGATGGAGGCGCAGTGGCTTCAAAGCAGCACCCCCTGCCAGTCATCTAGTGTATATAGAAATGATTGGTGTAGACGCATGTGTTCAGAATTCCATGATCAGAATACTGTCAAGTCTAGACACTGCCATAGATTAACGAAGGTAATTGATCTGCAACCTCAAATCATAGCTTTTTTCACTTTTATGCTATTCACACATATTGCAGTGTTGTATTTTTTGTGTAGGTGGGTCGGGATTGCCTTTGTATTTGACTGTGCATATGCCTGCAGTCTGTGTGTTTGTATGGTGTCTGTGTACAGTAGTGTGTGTTTCTGTGTGTTCATTGCTCTCTGGTGCAATGTAGGGGCATTCCTAATGACGCTTGACACTGCATGGCTGAGTGCCACAGAGCTCTGTGATGCAGAGGGAGGAGAGAGAGGGAGTAGGCTGTTTAGTAGAGAGGGGTGGTCGGGGTATTGGAATGGGTGGGAGTCTCACCCTGGTGGTCACTTTCCAAAGGCACATGGAATGAGCTGTCAAGCAGCATTGTAGTCAGCCTGAAATCCAGCCTAGCTGTAAATGGCTTGGCTTTCTGCCAACGTCTAACTTGCCCCTATCACTTCTATAAACAAGTGTTGTCTTTCCAATAACATCACAGCCTCTGAATTTAGGTCATAGTCGTTGGGCCTCAGCCACGTGACTCATATTGAATGTAAATGCCATGCCCTAGTCTATACGTCACCCATCCATGTATCTTGAAAGACGTTAGGCCATAAGCCCCGTCTATTGTGTTGGCAAAGCAAACTAGGGTAGGAACGCTTGGGCGGTATAACAAAATACCTACGTTATGATTTTCAAGAATGTCCCATTTTGTTCTTTTTTTAAACTAAAATTCATTGGATACATGGTATGTTTGTTTACAAAGAGCACATGGAGCAAATGGAAGTTTTGTGATGTGACATTCACTGTTGAGCAGCACAAGAGAGGTGATAAAGTTACACTTGAAATGTACTACGGTTTGCCAGCGAAATATCTTATAACTAAGTGCCAATACATTTTCTTCAGCTCAGGGCTCCAGCTATGCATTTGATTTGCTAACTTACTAGCTATAGGTAGGCAAGACAAACTAATTTTCACAATTTCACTAATCATCAAAATCAATAAATCATAGCACTTTTTTTGGGCTCGTTCTTATCTGATGAAGTAGAATCCTGTTAAAAAATTATGTAAAAATATTACTAAAACATATGTTAAAAATGATACTGTTGCTGCTTCCTGTAATGTATTTTTTAATTATACCCGAGTGTCAAAACACCGGTTTTAATGTTAAAATGAATCAACAATATGCTGAAATAAGTGATATGTTGAAAACCCCACACCTGTGTTCAGATTACTTGTATTTTGCTAAATTAGTACCTTAACAACTGCTCACGCTCCAATTTTTACCAAGTGGTCACTCCAGACTGAAAATGATTAGCATGTTCAACTGCAGGGGTGTCAAACCCATTCCAGGTTTTAGTTTTTTCTACAGGTTTTTGGTTTTTCCTTTCAATTAAGCCCTAGAAGACCAGGTGTGGGGAGTTTCGTACTAATTAGTGACCTTAATTCATCAATCAAGTACAAGGAAGGATCGAAAACCCGCACCCACTCGGCCCTCCGTGGAATGAGTTTGACACCTGTGTTCTACTGTAATCAATAGCGTGTGCAAATTAATCACTCACATATACACTGAAGAAAAATCTAAACTTAACATGTAAAAAATGATAATCCCGCACAAAAAGCTTATTTCTCTCAAATTCTGTGCACAAATTTGTTTATATCCCTGTTAGTGAGCATTTCTCCTTTGACAAGATAATCCATCCACCTGACAGGTCTGGCATATCAAGAAGTTGATTATTACACAGGTGCACCGTGTGCTGGGGACAATAAAAGGCCACATTTAAAATGTGCAGTTTTGTCACACAACACAATGCCACAGATGTCTCAAGTTTTGAGGGAGCGTGCAATTGGCATGCTGACTGCAGGAATGTCCACCAGAGCTGTTGCCAGTGAATTTAATGTTCATTTCTCTACCATAAGCTGCCTCCGACGTCGTGGTAGAGAATTTGGCAGTGCATCCAACCAGCCTCACAACCGTAGACCACCTGTAACCACGCCAGCCCAGGACCTCTACATCAGTCTTCTTCACCTGTGGGATCGTCTGAGGAAGGGTGGTGGGGGGTGCTGAGGAGTATTTCTGTCTGTAATGAAGCCCTTTTGTGGGGAAAAACTCATTCTGATTGACTGGGCCTGGCTCCCCAGTGGGTCGGCCTGGCTGTCAAGTGGGTGAGCCTATGCCCTCCAAGGCCCACCCATGGCTGCACCCCTGCCCAGTCATGTGAAATCCATAGATTAGGGCCTAATGAATTTATTTCAGTTGACTATTTCCTTATATGAACTGTAACTCCGTAAAATCTTTGAAATTGTTAAATGTTGCTTTTATATTTTTGTTCAGTATATATTGTATTTAAATCAATGCAACTGGGATAACTGCGGCGACATGTACCGTTTGCGCTCTTCTAAAACAGAGGTTCCCTAACTTTTTCACTGAAGCCTCACTTACAGCATTGGGGAACATCGCGCGCCCCCGCCACGTCTATTTCTTTGGGCACAAGCACTGTTCATGACACAAACTGTTCACACCCCTCTTGTTTGGCGGAGAGAAAATGTTGCAGGTTTAAAGCTTATTTCCTGCAATTCTACAGATTTTGTCATGGGGTGCAGAGGAAATTGTGCCGTTTTAATGCTTATTTTCTTGCAATTCTATACATTTTGCCATGTCTAATGTGTATTCATGTGATATTTGAGTGACTCAAACATTACAACAAAGTCTATGGGCAATAAAACCTATCTAAAACACTATCTGACATGGGCTAGTTGATCTGGACGTTTTTTACAAGTTATAAATAGCTCTCTAAGGTATGCAATGACTGACATGACAAGAGGAAAACTGATAATGCACTACCCAATTTCGAAAACTGAAAATAAAATAATGATGTGTGTGTATATATATACAGTACCAGTCAAAAGTTTGGACACACCTACTCATTCAAGGGTTTTTCTTTTTTTTTTCTCTACATTGTAGGATAATAGTGAAGACATCAAAACTATGAAATAACACACATGGAATCATGTAGTAACCAAAAAAGTGTTAAACAAATCAAAATATATTTTATATTTCAGATTCTTCAAATAGCCACCCTTTGCCTTGATGAGAGCTTTGCACACTCTTGGCATTCTCTCAACCAGCTTCATGAGGTAGTCACCTGGAATGCATTTCAATTAACAGGTGTGCCTTGTTAAAAGTTAATTTGTGGAATTTCTTTCCTTAATGCATTTGAGCCAATCAGTTGTGTTGTGACAAGGTAGGGGGGAAGATAGCCCTATTTGGTGAAAGACCAAATCCAGATTATGGCAAGAAAAGCTCAAATAAGCAAAGAGAAACACACAGCGAAAAGACAAACCACAGCGAACTTGGGTAAGAGTACATGTAACTGTAAATTAATGAGAACCTGTAGTAGGCTTTTATCAACTCATTTCCTTGTAGGAAAATGTTTACGGTAGATGGCCAATACGAAATAGGAAACGCAACACTTTAATTTCAACGAATCATCTCTCCACAGGTAGTTCTAAATAGTGACGGGTTGTCTTTCATTTGCGTGATCGCTTGACTGTCAAATCCGTGTTTTAATTTGTGGCCAGCGACTTTTATACAGAGCGCCGTGAATCGTCTGTGCCATTTTGAGTTTGAAAAAGGCAATTTAAAAGTCCTGCGACGACAGGCGCGTATGACAAAATCAACAGTACCAAGCCAAATATATTAATCTGATTCAAGCAATCGATTTAGTGGCAGTGTAATGACTACACTTTTATAATAACATCTCCAATCTGAGGTAAAACGTATGTGTAATTCCACAAAATGTTATGTGGTGAAAATGCAAACTTGTGTAATGTAGTAACACGCCTTGTCCACCATAGGGAAATGTACGTAATATAACATAATGAAATGTCAGTAGTTCAATATTTTTTATTTATGAGGAAAGTAAATGTAGCACACTCACACATTTTTACAACAATGACATACATTGGGGAAAAAAAGTATTTAGTCAGCCACCAATTGTGCAAGTTCTCCCACTTAAAAAGATGAGAGAGGCCTGTAATTTTCATCATAGGTACACGTCCACTATGACAGACAAATTTAGAATTTTTTTCCCAGAAAATCACATTGTAGGATTTTTAATGAATTTATTTGCAAATTATGGTGGAAAATAAGTATTTGGTCACCTACAAACAAGCAAGATTTCTGGCTCTCACAGACCTGTAACTTCTTCTTTAAGAGGCTCCTCTGTCCTCCACTCGTTACCTGTATTAATGGCACCTGTTTGAACTTGTTATCAGTATAAAAGACACCTGTCCACAACCTCAAACAGTCACACTCCAAACTCCACTACGGCCAAGACCAAAGAGCTGTCAAAGGACACCAGAAACAAAATTGTAGACCTGCACCAGGCTGGGAAGACTGAATCTGCAATAGGTAAGCAGCTTGGTTTGAAGAAATCATGCTTTGGGGCTGTTTTTCTGCAAAGGGACCAGGACGACTGATCCGTGTAAAGGAAAGAATGAATGGGGCCATGTATAGTGAGATTTTGAGTGAAAACCTCCTTCCATCAGCAAGGGCATTGAAGATGAAACGTGGCTGGGTCTTTCAGCATGACAATGATCCCAAACACACCGCCCGGGCAACGAAGGAGTGGCTTCGTAAGAAGCATTTCAAGGTCTTTGGAGGGAGTTGAAAGTCTGTGTTGCCCAGCGACAGCCCCAAAACATCACTGCTCTAGAGGATATCTGCATGGAGGATTGGGCCAAAATACCAGCAACAGTGTGTGAAAACCTTGTGAAGACTTACAGAAAACGTTTGACCTGTGTCATTGCCAACAAAGGGTATATAACAAAGTATTGAAAAACTTTTGTTATTGACCAAATACTTATTTTCCACCATAATTTGCAAATACATTTCTGTCTGTCATAGTTGACGTGTACCTATGATGAAAATTACAGGCCTCTCTCATCTTTTTAAGTGGGAGAACTTGCACAATTGGTGGCTGACTAAATACTTTTTTTCCCCACTTTACATTTCTTCCTACTTTAACCATACTTTAACCATGGAGACCATTTAAAAAATGCTCCTAAGAACAATTTAGTCAGGCGCTCTAGAATCTAGACTAAGAGCATCCGTAGGGTCTGTGCAGCAGGCTGAACGTTTGATGTTCCTACTCTAGGTGACTCACTTGCAAGATCAAGCTTCTTGGTTACAGAAGAAACAATCAATCCCCTTGTTAACATTTAGCTAGCGTCTTCTATAGGAATTTGCTAGTACTTTGTTAGCATACATTTTTGTATATATATATTTTTATGTTTGGAAAGAGATGTGGCGCCGGACAACGTGACCGGAAAGACTTTAATTTACCGGCCATTTGAGAAATTGGACCCATATGCATTGGTTGCGTAACCCATTAGGGCGTCCACCCACGGTGCTCAGAATGACAGAAATCACATTTAGATTATGGTAATTCATCTTAACATAACATGCAACTCCTGTAATGAATCAGCCAATAAAACGTCATTTTCAAACATTTGCCAAAATGCAATTCGCGGGAAAACTCCATTCTAAACAGTGCATTTGATGAAAGCGGTTCCATATGTGACAGAAATGAAAATCTCCATTAGAAACTTAGAAAGAGGGGGAATCTAAAGATCCAACAACTGGGATGGGATGCTAATATGACTAGGATTAGGCCTTTGTCTTCTGGACAACAAAATAAAGTTGATACGAAAACCAATAGAACAGAAGAGAAATGGCATATGAGGAAGTTTTTTCATAGGCGGCGGGTCGAATAGGCTAGGGAAGTAAATTGAAATACATTTGACAAAATTATATAAATAAATAAATAAATAAATAAAAGCATTCAAATACTTCACCAGAAAGCATGACTTGGCCACAGAGGAATCGAGGATCATTAGCTATAAAAAAAAATATATATATGTATAGCTGTGGATTGTTTCAAATCACAAGCTTGTAGGACTATGCCTATTTGGGAAGGCCGCAATTTGGGAAGCACGTGTGGCAATAGGCCTAGCTGATTATTGATTTGCGGCTGTCAGTGAAAATAATAAAAAATATGTGTGAAGATAATGTGTGTTGAGTGTAATTTAAAATGTTGAAACAAGAAGAAGAGGGGTATGTGGTGAAGATATAGGCGAGTCTCTCCAGAATGGCTCAGCTGTCTCCCGACAATTCTTGCGTATCCATTGTGTGAATTGTCTGGCCTTTGATTGATTGTTTATTTTTTATCAATTCCCCATTACATATGTCAATATTAGTAAACATATGTAATGGGGAATTTATAAAAGGAATAGCTAAAGACATATAGAAAGGGCTGAGTAACGAGATGAATGAAATTGAAAGAACCTGCATTTTTTATTTGCAACTTCTTCTTTTTTTGTCGGCTTTATGTATTTTTACTTAGTTGACAATGGAAGTTATAGCGTGACTGCTGTATTGGCCTATGAGTTCCACGAGAAATTGCCAAAGACTCCAACCCCCCAAGCAATAGACTGTTCACTCTGCTACCGTCCGGCAAACGGTACCAGAGCATCAGCTCTCAGACTAACAGGCTCCAAATGCACTGTATACACTCCATATACACACTGTCACTCCCACACAAAACCCTCACACATTCACATACACCTACATACGCACACACAAACACACACACACAACACACACGCATACCGACACAACACAAACACACATACATACACACTCACACACACTTTTGCACTCATCATTTGCTGCTGCTACTCTGTTCTTTATTTGACTTGTATTATTATCTATCTGGATGCCTAGTCACTTTACCCTGACTTTATCTATCTCAAATACCTTGCACCTCTGCACATTGGTCTGGCACTCCCTGTATATAGCTCCATTCTTGTGTATTTTATTTTATTCCTCTTGTGTCAGTTACTATTATTATTATTATTATTATTTTTAAACTGTATCGTTGGGAAAGCATTTCACTGTAAAATCTACACCAGTTGTATTTGGCGCATGTGATGAATAAAAATTGATTTGATTTGTTTTTGCAGAAGACATTCAATAATCCCTCATAAATTACCTATATATATATATCAGTTTTTTGGAGCTGCACCCGCCCCTCGCCGACCACATCAATTCTGAGCCCCGCCCCATAGCCGACATCATCAGGACAGATTTTTCTCTGCAACCTGACACACCCGCATAGAATTGTTCCGTGACATTTATTGAATTGTTGTTATGACTCCAGAGTAGTAGGCTTTAATGCCATTCCCTGCATGAATTAATTTGTTTTCATGTCTATTCGACATTTGGATAAAAGAAAACCATGCCATGAATTAAGATAGGCGTATCTTATTATTTTCTCAAATCGCTTTGAAACAGAGCCTTCTAATTATCCTCCTTACCTAATGAGCACCTATTGCCGACAAACAATACCTTTACATTCAATATTGTTGACATAATTAAATAGTTTAATTTAAACTTAAATAAACAATTCACAGAATCGAATAGGCTATAGGCTACATTTATAGGCTATTGGCTAGGCTACTCAAACTGTTACCAGCTGCACAGGTTTAAACTTGATATGGCCTGCATATGGTCAAATGAACGAAAGCCTGAATTAATGTAAACAAATACCTGTGTGCACTTTTTCAGGTTGAATATCCATCTACCAGGTTGTTGTCGTCCTTGTCCACCGTTACGTTAGCCATTTTCGCATGAGCTAGGAGTCAGGGAAAACAAACTTGGTGACATATTGTCGTGTGGCGGAAGAGAACAAAGCTCTGCATGTTCATGCACAAATTAGGAATGTTTCAGCACCACACAAATAGGTTACTAATGGACAGTTCGCTGCTCCAGTCTCTCGCTGCGTGGCTGGTAGCCCGGGTAGGTCTGCCTCACCGCTCACATAGCCTAATGGAATTTGCAACACAATTCAACATAACAAGGTCCTGGGTTTGTAAAAATAAATATAAATAAAGATCTTAAATGTTTCCGACCCGCAATATAATTGCTCTGAACTGCGAGCCGACCCGTGGTTTGAAAGAATGTTTTCATTCCACCCGCCAGCTGATTTTTTGGGGGAGGGTCAACTGCAGGGAACCGACCCGATGCAGGACTCTTAGCCTATAGCTGTGTCTGGATCTGAGCAATATACACCTGTGTAAAAGTTAAATAACTGCTGTTGAAAAAGGGCTTTATCAATACATTTTGAATTGATGTGATATTGACCTCTGTGTTGTGTTTGTGTTGCAGTCCAACGGCCAGACCCGAGGCCAGCGGCTCCACGTCGTCAGCCCCTGCCAAGCACAGCGGTCCAACCCATAAGATCTGCCTGGTGTGTTCGGACACGGCCTCTGGCTGCCACTATGGAGTCCTCACCTGCGGAAGCTGCAAGGTCTTCTTCAAGAGGGCCGTTGAAGGTTGGTGACATAATAAACACCCACGCACACAACTCCATTCATGCACAGTCCTCCCCTTCATTGACCGACTATAGTAGAACATACGTACAGGCAAATCTATTGTGGTGATATGTACATTGAGTTCTGCACTAGTACTTTCGTTGACACAACATTACACAACATGTGGACTCTTTAATTTGGAAAGGCACACACCTGTCTATATAAGGTCCCACAGTTGACAGTGCATGTCAGAGCAAAATCCAAGCCATGGGGTCGAAGGAATTGTGCGTAGAGCTCCGAGACATGATTGTGTCGAGGCACAGATCTGGGGAAGGGTATTGAAGGTCCCCAAGAACACAGTGGCCTCAATCATTCTTAAATGGAAGAAGTTTGGAACCACCAAGACTCTTCCTAGAGCTGGCCGCCCGGCCAAACTGAGCAATCGGGGGAGAAGGGCCTTGATCAGGGAGGTGACCAAGAACGCGATGGTCACTTTGACAGAGCTCCAGGGTTCCTCTGTGGAGATGGGAGAACCTTCCAGAAGGACAACCATCTCTGCAGCACTCCACCAATCAGGCCTTTATGGTAGAGTGGCCAGACGGAAGCCACTCCTCAGTAAAAGGCACATGAGAGCCCGCTTGGAGTTTGCCAAAAGGCACGTAAAAGACTCTCAGACCATAAGAAACAAGATTATCTGGTCTGATGAAACTAAGATTGAACTCTTTGGCCTGAATGCCAAGCGTCACGTCTGGAGGAAACATGGCACCATCCCTATGGTGAAGCATGGTGGTGGCAGCATCATGCTGTGGGGATGTTTTTCAGCCGCAGGGAGACTAGTCTGTATTGAGGGAAAGATGAACGGAGCAAAGTACAGAGAGATCCTTGATTAAAACCTGCTGGAGAGCGCAGAGGACCTCAGACTGGGGCAAAGGTTCACCTTCCAACAGGACAACGAATCTAAGCAAGTCAAGACAGCGCAGGTGTGGCTTCGGGACAAGTCTCTGAATGTCCTTGAGTGGCCCAGCCAGAGCCCGTACTTGAACCCGATCGAACATCTCTGGAGAGACCTGAAAATAGCTGTGCGGCGACGCTCCCCATCCAACCTGACAGAGCTTGAGAGGATCTGCAGAGAAGAATGGGAGAAACTCCCCAAATACAGATATGCCAAGCGTGTACCGTCATACCTAAGACTCAAGGCTGTAATTGCTGCCAAACGTGCTTCAACAAAGTACTGAGTAAAGGGTCTGAATACCTATGTAAATGTAATATTTCAGTTTTTTATTTTTGATACATTTGTTAAAATTTATAAAAACCTATTTTTGCTTTGTCATTACGCGGTATTGTGTATAGATTGATGAGGTGGAAAAAAGAAATGTAATCCATTTTAGAATAAGGCTGTAACGTAACAAAATGTGGAAAAAGTCAAGGGAAAGGTAAAGGGGGATACCTAGTCAGTTGTACAACTGAATGTATTGAACTGAAATGTGTCTTCCGCATTTAACCCAACCCCTCTGAATCAGATCGGAATACTTTCCGAATGCACTGTATATGAACATTATGGGCTGGACACAAAAATAGCAACAGACACCACAGCCTTATGGAAAACCATGAGACACTAGCCTACTCCTAGTTGGTGTAATACTAAGGCAACCTTTTCTGATTATTTTGTGTGAACCTAAAATGTCTCTCCTCCTAATCTTAAAAAATGGTTCAATAAAATATTCTACTCAAATGAAATGTTAAAAAAGCCCTCTTTTGAATACAGAACCAACCGGTATGCTTTTGGCTATCCTATAGGTAAGGACACCACTTAAAGAGTCTGCATATTGTGTAGTGTTGTGGCAACGAATTATAATAATTCACCTAATTTCAGTTTGTGACAAAACAAGCAAGTATAGAGTAGAGAATCATTGTACCATGTAAACCACTTAAATATTTGTTTAATAACCAAAAATATTGTATTTTCAGCTGTTTGAAGCTGGTGTACAAGTCCAAAAGTAAAAGACACAAAAACGAAACTTAAGAACGGGAAGAATTGAAATAGCGCACATGGAACAGATCTACCGCTTCTTAGTGACAGATCTATAACTCATATTTCTATGTGAATTTGGTCATGTCGCCCAAAATGTTACATATTGTAACTTTAACGTAGCCTACATTGTTATTCCAAGCTCACTACCACAGACACTACCTATGTACCATTCACTACAATCCCCTTTGAAGTCCATTGAATTGTTCTGAATAATTGAAAAGTGGGCAGCAATGCTATTGTTACCCCTATTGTCATTGTTCAGGGCCATCTGAATATATGTATTTATGTTGAGGTGTATTTACAGTATAGTTTAACACAACCATTTAATTCACATGAAAGTGCATACATGAGTGTGTTAATTGTATTCAAAAGAATATGACTATCCGTTTATTGTAAAATTCAAAACTTGAGTTTAAATACAAATATAATAGATATTACAATATCTGAGCAAGATTTTTTTAATTTCAAGGATAATCACAACATATTGTATACATTATTACAACGTAACGTTTACTGGTGTAAATTACCAAGTAAGTAATATTTACTATTTGTAAAGAAATGCATTTTTAATACTTGAATTGAGATATAATTTAAGCAATAATATGTTATATCTGTTATTTTTGTCTTTCTTCCCCCATTCTACGGTTGTTGTCGCTATGGTGAAGGATGGAGAGCACGACAAAACACAGATGGTAAATAAAACCCACCTTTAATAATGCTTCTGCTTTACTAATGTCCCTCAATCACTGTACTGGAAATCTGACCTGATATACAAGATTAAACATGCACAGTCTCTCCTGTGCCCTTCTTTGCATGAATTTGTGATTTGATCATTCATAATGTAATTTGGCTTTAAATCCTGTTTTAATTCCTGCTTGGAATGTGGGTCTATCATCACTTCGCTAGGAGAGTTAAGGGATGTATTTTTGCACAAAACCCAATAGCGTTATAACTGCAATGATTCTAATGATTTGTTTGCACTTGATCAAGTTATTGTCATCCTAAATCAAAAATGCACTTCACATTATTTGCTTTTGCTGGATAATGTCTTTGTGAATGTGTTAGTAGCAACGGTCATCGAAATTGTTAAAAGGTTTTAAAAACAATTCTAATAAATGCAACAGTTGGACATTGAAGACAGGAACCTTCCTGCTAGCCATGATTGGCTGAGATAATGGATGGGCTGGACATGCCGAGAGATGAGTTTGGATTGGTCTGCCATGTAGCAAGCTTCTGTATATAACATGAGCTGGTCAGTATTTGTAGGTAATCCTTTCTAACGACGCTTGTTTTGAAAGATATCAAAGTGTTGCTCTCCACTTTCTGGAGGACCGAGTTTTGAAATCAGTAGAAAGCCCAGAGAAATTAGAGTATGATAGCTAAGGAGATGGAGAAAATTCTGGCCATTGATTGCAAATATGCAGAGTCGAAAAGAGGACACACAGAAGGCTGTATAAAACACCTGTCTATGGATTACATCTTCAAACTAAGGGCAACCATGGCATCTGTGATAAAGAGGGAGAAGCATCCGTCCATGTATATGGGTAAAATAGTCTAGCTAACTACATTTTCAGAGATTAGACGTTTCTAATTTTGTCAGAAAGTTGTTTTTATTTGAAGTGTACTGTTAGGTAGCTAGCTAACGTTAGCTCGCTGGCTCGCTAGCTAACATTACGTGTATGATCTGTGTACTAATATTATTCGCATCTCAGAGCCATTTGCATTGCTAGTTATAGCCTAATGTTAGCTAGCTAACATTGAACCTGGTTGGTTAGCTACCTGCAGATTCATGCAGGGTAGTAACGTTCTGAGTTGCTCCTTTCATCTTTCCCTCAAACCTGACTAGTCTCCCAGTCCCTGCCGCTGAAAAACATCCCAACAGCATGATGCCGCCACCACCATGCTCCACCGTAGGGATGGTGCCAGGTTTCCTCCAGACGTGACACTTGACATTCAGGCCAAAGAGTTCAATCTTGGTTTCAACAGACCAGAGAATCTTGTTTCTCATGGTCAGAGTCCTTTAGGTGCCTTTTGGCAAACTCCAACCGGGCTGTCATGTGCCTTTTACTGAGGAGTGGCTTCCGTCTGGCCACTCTACCATGAAGGCCTGATTGGTGGAGTTCCTGCAGAGATGGTTGTCCTTCTGGAAGGTTCTCCCATCTCCCCAGAGGATCTCTGGAGCGCTGTCAGAGTGACTTTCGGGTTCTTGGTCACCTCCCTGACAAAGGCTCTTCTCCCCCGATTGCTCAATTTGGCCGGGCAGCCAGCTCTAGGAAGAATCTTGGGGGTTCCAAACTTCTTCCATTTAAGAATGATGGAGGCCACTATGTTCTTGGACTTTCAATGTTGCAGACATTTTTTGGTACCCTTCCCCAGATCTGTGCCTCGACACAATCCAGTCTCAGAGCTCTACGGACAATTATTTTGACCTCGTGGCTTGGTTTTTGCTGTGACATGCACTGTCAACTGTGGGACCTTATATAGACAGGTGTGTGCCTTTCCAAATCCTGTCCAATCAATTGAATTTACCACAGGTGGACTCCAACCAAGTTGTAGAAACATCAAGGATGATCAATGGAAACAGGATGCACCTGAGCTCAATTTCGAGTCTCATAGCAAAGGGTCTGAATACTTATGTAAATAAGGTATTTCATTTGTTTTATTTATTTATTTCAAAAATGTCTAAAAACCTGTTTACGCTTTGTCATTATGGGGTTGAAGTGGATTATTTAAAAAATATATCCATTTTAGAATAAGGCTGTAAAGTAAGAAAAATTTGATAAATTAAGGGGTCTGAATACTTTCCGAATGCACTGTATCATTATAATCCGAGTGTGCATTTTCAGGAGTTGTTTTCATTTCAGCACATCTAATTTGTAAACATTTCATCTGCATTAAATTATTTAAAAAATTATATTCCACAAAAAATGAACACCCATCAAAATAAAGTTATCTTTGTTGTGATGTAAGTGTTGAGACGGTGCATTAAATCACAGATGAAACTTTAGCGTTCTTATATATTCAACGGAAAGCCAATGTATTCCATTGTAGCCCATTTCAGCCATTACCGGGATGTGTTTGACAGGTCATTACAAATATTTCCATGGTCGTAGTGTTAACGGGGAAAAAAACACAGACACAAGCAAGACTAGTATGGAGTAAAAAGAAAGCAATCAATCCAGTGAGATTTAAGTGACAAGTGTATCTTACAACACTCAAACACCGGAAATAAATGGCTGAAAAAGACAGATCCTCAGGTGGGCGGGGCATGAGTATTGCGAGTATTAGTGTAATGGGGCTTTTTTCTTTTAGCCATAAAAAAATTAAATAATAACCACTCAGACTTAACATTAGCTATCCTCTTCATCGCCCTGTGATGGATTAAAAACTGGACTGGAAATGTTCAAAATAAGTGTGATATTTGTGATAATACAATATCTTTTTAAGGTCAATCATACCATGGTGCCTTCAGAAAGTATTCATACCCCTTGACTTATTCCACATTTTGTTGTTACAGCCTGAATTCAAAATTGATTTAAAAATAAATCAATCAATCACACCCATCTACACACAATACCCCAGAATGACGAAGCTAAAACATGTTTTTAGAAATGTAAGCAAATTTATTGAAATACAGAAATATCTAATTTACGTAAGTATTCACACCCCTGAGTCAATACATGTTAGAATCAGCTTTGGGTCTCTAAGAGCTTTGCACACCTGGATTTTACAATATTTGCAAAAAAAATTTTTTTTTATTCTTCAAGCTATGTCAAGTTGGTTGTTGATCATTGCTAGACAGCCATTTTCAAGCATTGCCATAGATTTTCAAGCCAATTTAAGTCAAAATGTTAACTAGGCCACTCAGGAACATTGTGTCATCTTGGTAAACAACTCCAGTGTATATTTGGCCTTGTGTTTTAGGTTATTGTACTGCTGAAGATGAATTTATCTCCCAGTGTCTGTTGGAAAACCAGACTGAACCAGGTTTTTCTCTAGGATTTTGCCTGTTCTTAGCTATATTCTGTACCATCTAAACTGCTGTGAAATATCTTTTCCATAACCCCAAAAAATGTATTTTCATCTGTTTGAAGCTGGTATACAAAACTGAAAGTAAAAAAAACGTAAGAACGGGAAGCATAGAATAGCTCACATAAAACAGATCTACCTCTTCTTAGCCTTACTTTCAATTAAAATGACAGATCTATACCTCACATTTCTATTTGAATTTGGTCGGTTCACCCAAAAAGTTACGTGTTGCAGCTTTAAAGTCACCATTGGCCTCATGGTGAAATCCCTGAGCGGTTTCCTTCCTCTCCGGCAGCTGAGTTTGTAAGGACACCTGTATCTTTGTAGTGACTACGTGTATTTATACACCATCCAAAGTGTAATTAATAACTTCACCATGCTCAAAGGGATATTCAATGTCTTTTTTTTTTTGTCTACAAACCTCCCTGTTCTTTGTGGTTGAATCTGTGTTTGAAATTCACTGCTCGACTGAGGGACCTTACAGATAATTGTATGTGTGGGGGTACAGAGATGAGGTAGACATAAAACAGTCCATGCAACATGTTAAGAACATTTTTACTCCTGAACTTATTTAGGCTTGCCATAACAAAGGGGTTGAATATCTATTGACTCAAGACATTTCAGCCTTACATTTTTTATTAATTTGTAAAAAATTCTAAAAACATAATTCAACTTTTACATTATGGGGTACCAAGTGACAAAATCTCAATGTAATAATTTTTAAATTCAGGCTGTAACACAACAACATGGAAAAAGTCGAGGGGTGTGAATACTTTCTGAAGGCACTGTGTTTGGCGTAGCATGATATTGTGTATAAAGGCATCCCTGGGGCTCTCTTACTAAGAGGACACCCAAGTCATGTTTGGATGGTAATTGGCTAGTGACGTCATCTTCCAACAAAAGAGTCCCCGTTCCGGGCCTTCTTCCATCTGCCACTATTTCCATTCATCCTGACCATGTTCTCAGTAGGACTGGAGGGAGCCTGGCAAACAGGGCTAGCCTTGCGCCGCCAGCCGAGTCCTCCTCACTAGCCTATAGTATGACGAAGGGATTAGAGAGAGGATGCTTCTGGGATTCAGCTGGCACTGTTTGTTTAGTTTATGGATGATTTGTTTGCACTGCTGTTTGCAATGGCTGCTGCTCCCATGGCTGTGGTTGTCACTAGTTACCACAGCCACAAATGGCTAAACCCCGCCTATTTCTACTATTTCTCTTCTTAAAGGTAGACTCAGCAAAATGACGTTGCCACGAGCAGCTCCGGAGATATTGAGATGAGCGAGATTCAACACTTCGCTCTCACAAAGTCACACACAGTATCTACGCATTTGCACAAGTTGAGCCTCGAGCTTCAACGCTCTTACACTATATATACAAAAGTATGTGGACATCCCTTCAAATTAGTGGATTTGGCTATTTCAGCCACACCCATTGCTGACAGGTGTATAAAATTCAGCACACAGCCATGCAATCTTCGTAGAAAAACATTGGTAGTAGAATGGCCTTACTGAAGAGCTCAGTGACTTTCAGTGTGGCACCGTCATAGGATACCACCTTTCCAACACATCAGTTCGGTTAACTGTAAGTGCTGTTATTGTGAAGTGGAAATGTCTAGGAGCAACCACGGCTCAGCCGCGAAGTGGTAGGCCACACAAGCTCACAGAACGGGACCTTCAAGTGCAGAAGTGCGTAAAAATCGTCTGTCCTCGGTTGCAACACTCACTACCGAGTTCCAAACTGCCTCTGGAAGCAACGTCAGCACAAGAACTGTTCGTCAGGAGCTTCATGAAATGGGTTTCCATGGCCGAGCAGCCGCACACAAGCCTAAGATCACCATGCGCAATGCCAAAGCATCGCCTGGAGTGGTGTAAAGCTTGCCTCCATTGGAGCAGTGGAAATTCGTTCTCTGGAGTGATGAATCACGCCTCAACATCTAGCAGTCCGACGGTCTAATCTGGGTTTGGCGGATGCCAGGAGAACGCTACTTGCCCCAATGCGTAGTGCCAACTGTAAAGTTTAGCGCAGGAGGAATTAATGGTCTGGGGCTGTTTTTCATGGGTCGGGCTAGGCCCCTTTGTGCCAGTGAAGGGAAATCTTAACGCTACAGCATACAATGACATTCTAGACAATTATGTGCTTCCAATTCTGTGGCAACAATTTGGGGAAGGCCCTTTCCTGTTTCAGCATGACAATGCCCCCGTGGACAAAGCAAGGTCCATACAGAAACTGTTTGTCGAGATCGGTGTGGAAGAACTAATTGGAAAGCCGACTGTGAGCCAGGCCTAATCGCCCAACATCAGTGCCCAACCTCACTAATGCTCTAGTGGCTGAATGAAATCAAGTCCCCGGAGCAATGTTCCAACATCTAGTGGAAAGCCTTCCCAGAAGAGTGGAGGCTGTTGTAGCAGCAAAGGGGGGACCAACTCCATATTAATGCCCATGATTTTGAAATTAGATGTTTGACGAGCAGGTGTCCACATACTTTTGGTCATGTAGTGTATGTGAAAATTCTGCATTTCTAGGTTTTGTAGTAAAAAAGACAGAGGAAGGTATGTGTTTCCAATGACATCAACCAATTAGTAGGCAATGCCTGCTCATAATTGGTTAAAATCACATGATGCACACCAATGTCATTGAAAACACTTATGTTCCTCTGTTTTTTACTACAAAACATAGAAACGCACCATTTTCACATATTTTGGGGTGGTGCTGGAGATGAGTATGAAGTTGAAACATTTTGAAATTTCCATTTAACCACACTGCTAGCCTTATGCCTAACCTTAAATTAATCCCAAAAATGTTATTTTTTTGGCTGTGGTAGCACTGCGTTACAGTTAGCTGGGATTTTATGTTGTAGGTCCAGGTTGGCATTATTCTGTAGAGCATTGGCTGTGTTCCTCTGTAAACATATTCATTTAACTAAATGCTCTGACTACATTATTATTATTATTATTATTATTATTATTATTATATCATATCAATAGGAAGATTGTCCTGTGGCATTTTATCTCATAAGTCTTCTTTATTAGTTGGTTGTAAAAATGTTATCAGTAGATGAATATATTAACTAGGGTCATTTTAAAAACACTGAAATGTTGTATGGGACCACTGATGAGTTGGTTACGTGCTGCTTATATTAAAGCATGACCTCAAAGATCTCCCCTAGAGAATTTGTTAATCTGGCAAAATGTTCCGCTGACATTATCCAGGCTCTGTCAAACAATCCCCCCCCCCACCTCATTTTAAATTACTAGTCCGACTTAAGACACACTGTCAACAGCTAAAATCATTACACCCAGAGCATTGGCAGAGTATTAAAAAAAAATAAGTGAAAATCTCTTTATCCCCGTTTTTTAAAAAGCTTAGGCTACTTTTTTGCCTGGCAGTGGAGGAGTGTTAACCTCAGAAAGTGAACGAGCTGTCACCTTAAGTGTTGGCTGCTGACTGTTATGTCATGAGGCCGGCAGGTTTAGTCAAACAGGTGTTTGGTGTGGTGGCAACTCGTAGTGCTTGGCCTAATCATCTTCAACCCTCTTGCTATTAATGACCTTATTCCTCCATCGCCAGGACAACACAACTATCTGTGTGCCGGGAGGAATGACTGCATCATAGACAGGATCCGCAGGAAGAACTGCCCGGCGTGCCGCTTCCGCAAGTGTCTCCAAGCAGGGATGAACCTGGAAGGTAAGTGGCACCAACACATTCACATTCATATTGTTCTCATATCAGTGGAATTGTAGTGTATACACACAGTCTTATGGCAAACATAGTTATCCAGCAAAGTTTAATCAGAGGACATTTTCAGCATGTGTTCTCTCTGAAAGGCTGTGCTTTATATGTTTTGTCCCCTATAGAGGTTGTGATTAGGAGTAGGATTTAGTCTTGGATTCACATAAACCAGTAGTGGGTCTTGATTCCCAGAGTTTATGTTGACATGGTCCTCTGTAGCTCAGCTGGTAGAGCACGGCGCTTGTAACGCCAAGGTAGTGGGTTCGATCTCCGGGACCACCCCATACACACAAAAAAAATGTATGCACGCATGACTGTAAGTCGCTTTGGATAAAAGCGTCTGCTAAATGGCATATTAACTAACCTAATGTTTCCTCTCTGGCCCAGTGTTTCAAACAAGGGTCAGAGCCAGTGATCAACAGTCATTCACTCAGACCCAGTTCCTCCCATGTCCCTGAGCCATAGAAAGATAGAAGGCTCACATTAGCTCTACTCTGTCACTGTGGACAAAAAAAAATCAAATGGAAATGGACAATAATTCACATTGATGCACTTCTTGTTATTTATATATGTTCATTCACTCAGTGCTGCAGGGTATGACATCGTTAATGATTTAGTTGTACGAATCAGAGTGGGCGGAAAAAATACATTGACGGATTTGGGTGCATCAGCAGACAATCAAAACCTGGGGTCGTACCAGAAAGGCTCTTAGTTGCCATAGAAACATTTATGGAGGAAATTAAAAAAGGAGAAAAAAGAGACTGAGATCGTTTTTGATGGTAACCCTCTCAACCGGAGGCATTCAGCACATATTGTAACAGAAATTGTTTTCGTGTTATGTTGCTCTTTTTAAAGACCCATAGAAATACACAAGAAGGTAAGTCTCTTCGTTTCAATGAATAAAACCTTGAACTCTGTACCCTTTTGAAGCGTAACCCAATGTGGATTACCTATTTTATGAGTAAACTAGCTGAGGTCAACTGATAAAGCATCTTATAGGCTGCATATTGTTGTTATGAATAGGGTATGTGTGGTCTATACACTATCACCACCTGGGTTAGGTGGGATACAATAGCTAGATGTGTGGTCTATACACTATCACCACCTGGGTTAGGTGGGATACAATAGCTAGCCATAATCCCCTAAAGTCTATGTCCGCGCCCCCGCGGAAATCTAATTAGCATAATAAAACAATCCCCATTAAAAATAAGGGGTTAAATACATGTCGTTTTTTATAACAAATGTTTCCTGATCTTTCTTAAATCTCTTAGATATAGGACAGACACTTCAGAACAAACTTCCTTTAGAATTTTTTTGGGGGACTATCTGTTCCATGTAGTGAATCTGTTATTCAATGTGTTTGTATGGGCTAATAGCAGTAAGGGCAAAAATAATTGTTAATCAAATATACTTTTTTTATATTTTTTTTTGGTACTTCAAGGAGTCTTAAAATTCAAAATAAAATCGCTAAATGATCCTTGGTATGACCTTCTTAAAAAAATTCCATATAGTTTAGTAGAACCCCCCCCCCCCGCCCTCCCCTGGCTTAGACTATTATGGGTTAACAGGGAAAGTTACTGATAAGCTCTGTCTTCTCTCTCTTTACTCTTACACTCTCTCGTCTCTGTCTTTGCAGCAAGGAAAAACAAGAAGCTGATCCGATTAAAAGGTCAGCAGGGCACGACGGAGCCGAACGCTCCATCACCTGACGAAAGGGTCTGCGCCCTGATCCCCAAGTCCATGCCCCAGCTGGTGCCCACCATGCTGTCCCTGCTCAAAGCCATCGAGCCAGAGGCGATTTACTCTGGCTACGACAGCACCATCCCCGACACCTCCACCCGCCTTATGACCACCCTCAACAGGTTGGGTGGACAACAGGTCGTCTCAGCTGTCAAGTGGGCCAAGTCCCTACCAGGTGAGACAACCTGGTACACCTTCATTTTAGCACTAATTTGACTAGCCGCCATTATAGGCTTGGTCCATTCCATTTCAACTCGAGTTAATTCAGGAAATGAACTAGGCCTAAATCAAGTCAATCCAGTGACTTGCAAATTAATTAGAATATTTTCAATTAATCTCATGATTTTCCATTTTATCAATCATGGAATGGGGTTGAGTTGACCCCCAGCCCCTAATCATGAGAAAGAAGGCACATGGTTTGGTTATCGCCCCAATATTTACTCTGTGCCTTGGTCTCACCCAGCAGCCAACTGGCATGGAAGGGAAGGACTTGTGGAGAAATCTTACATAACTACTGAATGGTTAAGCAAATATGATCTGAAAAGATTTCAACACTTCCACTTTTGAAGTCTCAACAATGAGAGACGATTGAACTGCAATTAAAGGCCACTTTCAGGGCTACAGACTGCAACCATTTAGTCACATTTTGCGACCCTTTGACTTGGCTGTCCGAGTAAAATGTTTACTTGGTCGCATCAGTGTGAGCTGCACATTCTACATGGTCACTACATAGCTGCAATACAGTGTATTATAATTACAATGACCTATCTTAGTCTTGTCTGTGTCTTATTCTATCAATGTTATCATCATTATATATCACGCAAAAGACCAGCACTAACAACACTGCAATCCTGATCAATGATGTGTGTTGTCTGTTCGTGCAGGGTTCCTGAACCTTCACCTGGATGACCAGATGACCCTGCTGCAGTGCTCCTGGCTGTTCCTCATGTCGTTCGGCCTTGGCTGGCGCTCCTACCAGCAGTGTAACGGGGGCATGCTGTGCTTCGCCCCTGACCTGGTTATTAATGAGTAAGTCCAGAGAATCAGAGAAGGAGAGGGGACAGGGACTCACCTGGGAGGGCTGTAGCTGGCTGGGGGCTCTGGAGATGAGAAAGGTAGCCTGGATGGTGGGTGGATTTCTATAGATAGCTAGTTCAACCAGAGCCTCTCTGGAGGGAGGGAGGGAAAACTATGTTGCTGGAATTAAAAATGTATGCCTATGGAAAGTCTACACCCCCTTGAACTTTTCACCTTTTGTTGTGTTACAAAGTGGGATTGAAATATAATTTTTTGTCATTGATCTACACAATACTCCATAATGTCAAAGTGAAAAGATACATCTTTTTTATATATATATATATATATTTTTTTTTTAAACAAATGAATACAAATTCAATAACTAAAATATAGTCGTTGCATAAGTATTCACCCCCTTTGTTTAGGCCAGCCTAAATTAGTTAAGAAGTCACATTTGGCTTAACAAATCACATAAGTTATATGGACACACTCTGTGTGACATGATTTTTGAATGACTACCCCTTCCTCTGTCCCCCATACATATAACATCTGTAAGGTCCCTCAGTCAAGTATTGAATTTCAAGCACAGATTCAACTACAAAGACCAGGGAGCTTTTCGAAAGCCTCATAAAGAAGGGCAGTGATTGGTAGATAGATGGGTAACAATATCAAATCAGACATTTGATATATCTTTAGTCATGGTTAAGTTAATAATTCTGCTGTGGATGATGTATTAAACCATCCAGACACATCAAAGATGCAGTCGTCTTTCTGATCTGAGCTGCAGGACAGGAAGGAAACTGCTTAGGGATGTCACCATGAGGCCATTGAAGTAAATGACAGAGTGAAAAGAATACAAATATTCCAAAACAACAAGGCACTACAGTAATACTGCAAAAAAGAAACATGTCAAAGGAATACAATTTTTGGCCTAAATGCTAAGCCTTATGTTTGGGGCAAACACAATACATAACTGAGTACCTGCCTCCTTATTTTCAAGCATGTTGGAGGCTGCATCATGGTATGGGTATGCTTGACATCGGTAAAGACTGGGGAGTTTTTCAGGTTGAAAAGAAACTGGATGGAGGTAAGCACAGGCAAAATCCTAGAGGAACACCTGCTTCAGTCTGCTTTACACCAGACACTGGGAGAGGAATTCACCTTTCAGCAGGACAATAACCTAAAACACAAAAGCCAAATCTACAGTGAAGTTGCATACCAAGAAGACAGTGAATGTTCCCGAGTGGCCAAGTTACAGTTTTGACTTAAATCAGCTTGAAAATCTATGGTAAGAATAGAAAATTGCTGTCTAGCCATGAACCCCAACAACTTGACAGAGCTTGAAGAATTTTGAAAAGAATAATGGACAAGTATTGCACAATACAGTTGTGCAAAGCTCTTATGAGATTTACCCAAGAAGACTGCCAAAGGTGTTTCTAACATGTATTGATTTAGGAGGTGAATACTTATCTAATCAAGTTATATGACTCGGGGTGAATACTTATCTAATCAAGTTGTAATAGTGTTTTATTCTTCATTAATCTTTTAAAAATTAAAAAATGTTCTTCCACTTTGACATTTGAGTATTTTGTGTATATCGTTGACAAAAAAGGACAATTAAATCCATTTTAATCCCACTTCGTAACAATAAAATGGGAAGAAATCCAAGTGGGGTGTAGACTTTCTATCTTGGCCAAGTGAGGTGGGAAAATCCTGTCCATCCTATTAGGGCTGTTTTCACAGCCCAGATTCACAAAGCTCGGTTTCTCCAGCAGGATTATAGGCGTAACTGTCACGGTCATTATACACTATGTGGATTGCGGAGAGGGAAACAGGGTGTTGGTCTGATTATAACTGTCTCTTTGTGTGTGTGTGTGTCTCAGTGAGAGGATGAAGCTGCCCTACATGACCGACCAGTGTGAGCAGATGCTGAAAATCTCTACTGAGTTTGTGAGGTTGCAGGTGTCCTACGACGAGTACCTGTGTATGAAAGTCCTGCTGCTGCTCAGCACAGGTATAACACATTTACATTCAATCTTAAATAACATAAATGAATCCATTGATTAAAACAGTTATTCATTATGGCAGTCCGATGCAGTTTGCAGGGAACAGGCTGGGGAAAAACAGAACACATGTTTTGACGTCTCAGTTCAAAAATAAGTGGAGAAAATGAAAAAAACAGGAGGGAAACCAGACAAACTGAAGCTTCAGCTTTTGAATGAGCTTTGTACAAATGAGGCCTCAGGAAAAAAACTCCCAGCGTGACAAGCCATTACAAAACCATATTTAAGCAGAAGATACTGTTTATTGCAACGTTGTTGACTTGGAATGACTGGGGAAAAAGTAATTTGTGCCTTTCAACTTACACAAAATGAGTGGTTTTGGAAAGTGCACACACTTGGTGTCTTTTGATTGCTTCTTAAGGAAATGAAAATTACATTTACATGCAGAGCTGTGCTTTTTTTAAACCAGTGAGCAATCTTCTTTGCTTTTTTTTCCAACCAGGACAAAATGTACATATTTTCAAGTGTTTTATTTTGATTGGCTCATCGATAATGTTATCTACATAATTCAAACTAGAAATGTAAAAGAAATACACCAGGCGACCACTTTTGATTGGGGTAGACCTATTGCCTGCTATTATAGACCTACAGACTCTCTCCTGTTAGTATTGTAAATAGTAATTTGTCAGTTATTCTGCATGTGAGAGGCATAAAATCCTTCTCTTGCAAGTTTGAAAAAGAACATCACTAGCTACATCCAAACCAGAAAAGTATACAAGGGCAAGCCAGTTTGTATCTCTCATCTGATAAGACAATTGGAGATTATTTTACCTTTTACCTCCTATGTTGTTTTGCATAATCTCTTGTCCATTGAGTGCAGTTTTGCCTGGGCCCAAGTCCAAGATCCCAGAACCCTTCAGTCCAGGGTAGATCCTTCATCTGGCTCTTATCAGGGAACAATGGGTTCGCATAAAACCCATTGATGTTACCTGTGGTTTTGCATATTTTCCATTGACCTAAGTGTGGTTGGGACGGGACGGAGGGTGGGTGGGTGTGTATGAGACGGTAGTGGCGAGACGTTAGTGGCAGGATAACGGGCAGTGTTCAGACTGGGAGACTCTGGGTCAAAACTAAGAGACTCCTTCCTGGCCTAACCTAACAATGTCAGATTGTCTATTGTGTGAATATTGGTTGACTGAGTGAACTTTTTACGATGCCTTTTTGTAATGACAGAGACGTAAGGACTATATTGACGTACACTGCCTACTAAAACAAATCATGCATGATGAGTAAGAGGTTATTTATGTCTGCTTTAACCCCTCCCTTGCTTGTTCCCACAGTACCAAAGGATGGATTGAAGAGCCAGGCTGTGTTTGATGAGATCCGCATGACCTACATCAAGGAGCTGGGGAAGGCCATCGTCAAGCGGGAAGAGAACTCCAGCCAGAACTGGCAGAGGTTCTATCAACTCACTAAGCTACTGGACTCCATGCAGGAAGTGAGTTTGAGCCCACCTGCACCCACAGCCACACAACAGCATTCAGCAACACTCAGTAACACTTGCCGATGTTTTCCAGGGAGTTATGGAACCCAGGACTATCCTGGCTTAATAAACACAAAGAAAATGAAATGAATGAGCGTACATGCATACTCATCACCTCTTCTACTCGTCAGCATACCAATAAATCAACCTGTTTCCTCTTGGTTGGAGTACCCTATATCAGGGAGTCTGGAAGAGTGTGACTTGAATACCAGTTACAGAGATCCAATATGTATTAAGAGCAAGCAAGACTGTTGTTTTTTTGTGTATTTGTGAACCTCTTGAGTTAGAGATGAGCCCATTTAGAATGTATTACAAGCTTAATTTTCCAGCTATGCTATCAATATCAAAGTTGTTCACCATGGCATCAATAAGTGGTTTGAAATAGTGTGTACTGTACCAAACCGTAGCTATGCACCCTGGCATGTTGCTCTGTTGTTGCCATTGTGCTCTTAGTGAAAGACCTAAAAAAGACCTGATTGTTTCCACAGATGGTGGGGGGCCTCCTGCAGATCTGCTTCTACACTTTTGTGAATAAATCCCTGAGTGTGGAGTTCCCTGAGATGCTGGCCGAGATCATCAGCAACCAGATACCAAAATTCAAAGACGGGAGTGTTAAGCCGCTTCTGTTTCATCATGCCTTAAACCATGACACAATGCCTTAAAACCCCAGCCTCCCCTCCCTCCCGCCCGCCAGCCAGCCAGACCCGCCTGTTTTCCCTGCAGACACCCCACCAGGACCGCTACCAGTACGGATTAATGTAGTGAGAGTGTGCACTCAAATCAGTTCCCAGAAGACTTGGTTGGAGAGAGAATGTGCAAAAGAGAGAGAAAAGGAGTGTAAGATTGTCACATTGATCATGAGCGACATGGCAACAAACTAACTGACCCTTCTGGATGAAACAAGGATTCAACTGTTCTGGAATCCTGTTTAGACCGTGAATCACTTCAAAACACTTATTGTGAGATTGGAGGAATCCAATTTTAACAACGAAAAGAGAAAGGAATATTTTCTATTGATTTAATGCATGCACACACCACTGAAATGTTTACACAAGAATATCAGAAAAGGGAAAACGTGCCTTTTTTAGCTTTGCAGGCTGTCCATAGCCATTTTTCTCAAACTGTCAAATGCAAGTATTTTGCATAGGAATCTAATATAAACACCTTTGTATGTATTTGTCTGTTCTCTTTCTAAGCAGCCATGTTTCTTTTCTAAAATGGGCAGTTAAATGATCCCCAGAAGTGAAGAGAGTGAACTCCTTATGTAAGGTACAGTACATAATAAAACCAACAATATGTTCAATTTCATTCTTAGCAACCTTTCAGTAGTTGTTATGCTCAAACATTAATATGAAGAAGGTTGAATTAGAGGTTCCTGCCATGTCTGAGCGTATACAGTATATCAGGGTTCCCCAAAGTCAGTACCCCCCCCCCACCCCACCCCACCCCACGCCACGCCGGGTCCACGTTTTGTTTTTTCCATAGAACTACACAGCTGATTCAAATAACCAACTCATCATCAAGCTTTGATTATTTGAATCAGCTGTGTAGTGCTAGAGCAAAAAACTAAATGTGCACCCAGGGGGGACCCCAGGACCGACTTTGGGAAACCCTGCAGTATATTATAATTCAACAGTGGGGAAAAAAGAAACATCAGATCAACTTTTATGTGTGTTATAGGTTTTCTTCATGATAAAAGGAAGACTCACTTCATCTTAAAACCGTCCATGATTTGCAAGTTAAATGAAAATGCCAGCGTTGGGCTAGGCTTGGGAGATAGGATGGGAGTTCGCAGCATTGGCTAATGATATGATTGGTGTGTATGTATATGTGAGTGAAAGAGAGCAAAGAGGACAGAAGGTAACGGCCTGAACACGTTTGTTTGTTCATATGATATTACAACATATGTATTTATTTCAAAATAGTCACAATCCTATTTTTAACATGATCCGTCAAGCTGTATATTAGAGAGCATACGCACAGTCACTATTCTCTGGGAGTTGCAAACAAATTATGTTAAATGACCCAAGCTTAAAGGAAAAATCCACTCAAAAGTGACCTTTTGGTATTTTTTTCATTAGTCTGCTGTTGATACAGTCCCAAAATGTTTTGCCATGTCAGCAGTCAAGTTTTCAAGATGTAGGATTTTCAAGAAGCTAAGTGTCACTTGCCACATCGTCATGATGATGATGCATTTTGCATCATCACGATGGTGGAAAGTCACCTGTATGTATTATTCTAGTGCCAAACCGCAGATACTTTGTCAATTTTTATTCATAATATGAAATGGAAAAAAAGCAGAACTGTGTAATTGTTACACAGAATTCATTTAGCCGTCTTCTCACATAACATCGTTATTATTCTATATTTCAGTGCTCATTTATGAAAGGAATATTGCAATTTTTAACTACACCAGCTAACGAGGAATAGAAGTGTTGATTGTTATTCACAAGATCACGTAGATGTTTTCAGGCCATTTCATACACTTATACTCTGAAATGTATACTCTTGAAGCTCCCGACGAACAGTTATTGTGCTGACGTTGCTTCCAGAGGCAGTTTGGAACTCTGTAGTGAGTGTTGCAACCGAGGACAGACTATTTTTACACGCTACGCGCTTCAGCACTCGGCGGTCCCGTTCTGTGAGCTTGTGTGGCCTACCACTTTGCGGCTGAGCCGTTGTTGCTCCTAGACGTTTCCACCGGAGCAGCTCTAGCTGGGCAGAAATTTGACAAACTGACTTGTTAGAAAGGTGGCATCCTATGACGGAGCCACATTGAAAGTCACTGATCTCTTCAGTAAGGCCATTCTACTGACAATGTTTGTCTATGGAGATTGAATGGCTGTGTGATCGATTTTATACACCTGCCAGCAACGGGTGTGGCCGAAATAGCCAAATCCACTAATTTGAAGGGGTGTCCACATACTTTTGTATATATAGTGTTGAAGTAATTCTCTCCTTTGAGGTACTCGCACAACACACGCCAGCTTATGCCATGTGAAAACATAGGACATACAAAGAACATACAATGGCTTGTGGAGTGCAAGTGCAGAAACATTGCTAAAAGGCTTCAGAACTGATTTAATGAGCCATTCGCAGTTTCACTGTGCCGGCCGTGTGTACTTAGACTTGCATGGCTTAATCTTTGAGACAAGCATATGCTACTGGCAGGATCAACCAGGTAGGACAGGTTAGTTAACAAACACAAAATGGCAGCCATGTAGGCTAACTAGCTCAGTCATTCTTCTGTCAGACTGATGGAATGACCACGTGAGACGGATCCCCTGGTGCTCCTCTCTGTATGCGCTCCCTGTATCGGTCTATCATGTATTTTTGGGAGGAGGTTGACATATTTTGGATTACTTTCTCATACACGTTTTACAGAGGACTTTGTCTCTGTTCTGGTTTTTCAATTGGACAAACCAGCTTGAACATATCCTAATGATCACTGTATTGCCATAGATGTACATACAGAAGCATAACATATCTCATGAAATTGAAGCAGTGTGTTGATTATAACATGTTTCATGACAACTTTTGACAGACTACTTTTACATACCTGTATATTCCTATCGTTTAAAAAAAAAAACTTTTTCAAAAAAAAAATGTAAGGCCTTGCGAAAGGGAGACAAAGAGCCATACAAATTGGGTTTAAATTCAGGAAAACTTAAACTATCAATGCTTTTGAAAATAGGTTTCTTTTAAAAATTACAATATTTTCAGTAATTTTCAATATCAGTTTGATCCTCTTTGATATGAATCATTTTACTCACCCTTTTTGTAGAATAGGATGAGTAAGATGGTCATTATTTTATTTTTCTGTTTGTTGGTTTGTGTTTGACAAAGATGGATGTATTGCATATGTACTTAGACAGTGTTAAAACATGTCTGACTTGTAAGTAACTATAAATTATATAAATCAATGGGGAAAACTATATGAAAGATCACTGTGTTTTAGGAAATTAGAAAATGGGGGGTTTGGGAGGGGAAGAGGGACTGGAGTATATTTGTATAGTACAACAGAGTGACCAAAGCAGAGAGAACATAAGTATTCAAGCAGTTACATTTACAGTAGCATTTATTATCAAATTAGTGCTTATTATTTTATTTTAAAATATATTTTGTAATGGTCTAGCCTTTGGTCTCTTGTGTATATTGCTGTGAGGATTAACTAGTCGCTTCAAATTATTTTAATTTTTTTTAAAGGTAAAAACTGTGTGTGAAAGTAATCTACTGGGGAGAATTTGCACTACCACGTTTCATAATGAATAGGAAATGAGGAAGGTCATCACTCAGTCTTTGACTTTCCTGATTTCCTATTGATTCCGGAAAATTTTTTGGTCTACACAAACTGCCTGCAAGAATCTACAATGTTCATCCACTACCTCGTTTCAACTTCATACTAGTTGAGAAAGTCTATTTTCTGTATAAAAAACATTATCTTTAAAGATTAAGGGCAGATCATATTTCACTGGTATATGGCTTTCATTAAAGTCTGTTGTTCGTATTTCAGTTCTGTAAATGTAATCCAATGTAAAGAATATATGTTGTGTATTTGTTTCAAAAAATATATGTATTACCTCTGTACCTCTTCTGTAGTCAATGTCGATATTTTCACCTGACTTTCTCCTGACAAAAATATCTGTGTAGTTCATTGGTTGGGTGCTCTAGATTCGCTTCATGACCTCAGATGGTTATCAATTGTTTCTCCATATAAATCTGCTCATAAAATAAAGGGTTTCTCACTCACAAGTCATTTCTAAGGTCTCCAAATGTGTCTTGATGGATGACAATGTTTTTTTCTGTGCTGGATGACATCAAATGCGTCAGATGTACGTAAAAGTTGAAAAGAGCTTTTAAAAAAGTACAATTTCCATATCACTGATTAATATGAAAATGTTTTGACTCCCTGTCAAAAACCTTCTGGGCCTGGGAACCTGTTCACCACTTGAGAAAATATTTGAGAAAGGGATTACTGGTGTGTTCAAGACAACTGGGAACTTGGAAAAATGAGCTCCAATGGTTTTGAATGGTCATCCAACTCGGAATTACAAGTCGGGAACTCTGGCATCATCCTAGAGCTCCGACTTATCGGACCTGAAAATCACAGACGATTTTTCCCAGTCAGAGCTCGTTTTTTTCCCCGAGTTCCCAGTTCTCTTGAACGCACCATATGTAGCTAACATAGCTTGTTTGAAGTCAGTGAGGTCATGGATAGGAGGTGCGTTATCTGGAGCATGCTAACAGGGAATCTACAACGTCCATTATGAGGTTACATTTTTTTTCTCGCTTTTATCTCAGTCAGCTATTCTGTCCAGGGTCATATTTAGTCTGGCACAACGTATCAACATTTTGCAACCCAAACTTTCGACAACCGTATCGAGGAAGATCTGCGATATAGTACGATTGAAATTTAAAGGCAATGTTCACAGAGACTGCGTTCCCCGTAAACGCTGCATAATAAAAACAAAAATAGGATAAAAAATAAAATAAAACAATATCAATATAAAACAAATTAAAATTAAAAATATACTAAAAAAAAAATAGAATAAGAAAATAAATAGAAGACAAAAATGAGAAAAATAAAGTGGTTGTCCCACTAGCTATCATAAGGTGAATGCACCAATTTGTAAGTCGCTCTGGATAAGAGCGTCTGCTAAAT